CCGCACGGGCATGTCGGACGAGCAGTGGTGGCTGCACCTCTACGTCATGTTCTCCCGCGCCACGTGCATGCGGAACATGCTGATCCTGCGGCCGCCGCCGCGAGAGTTCCTGGAGTGCGGGCCGCCGGCGTCCCTGCGGAAGGCGCTCCTGGAGTTCGACAAGAGAACGGTTTTGTCCAGGGCGGAGGCGAAGCAGCTCGCGGCAGAGCTGGGTTTCGTGCTGCCTTCCGCCTGAGCGCGGCTGCGCCTCGCTCGAAGCCCGCGGGGTTGTCCCAACGGCTTGGTCTTGCGCGCCAACGGCTCGCGGGGTTGTCCCGACAGCCTGGCCCGCGGGGTTGTCCCAACGGCTGCGCGACGTGACCTGTAGAGAACGCGCCTGTGCTGGCCGTGGCGGCGACGGCGCCGAGGAACATCGACATGCGCGCTCATGCAACAGGAAGGGGAGGAGGTGGCGGGGCGCGGAACAAACAGGGGGGCGAGGATGGGGACAACGTAAGGAGTGGAAGGGGGGCCCGCGCCAAGGCGAGAGGAAATATACGCAGAAGAGACAGCCAGGACGCCTCACCAACCACGATGACGACGGTGATGGCTTTTTCCAGATTCGCCCAGAGGATTCTTATGTGGGGTTCTTCCGTCGGAGTAATTCGGTTTCGTGCGTGGTTTCTTCTCCAAATGATCAAGGATGCTCCTCGATGGTCCTCGCCGAATGAAAAATGCACACGTCCGAGCGATGCCAAGGGCCCGAACAGTCTCACAGCCGCCACCTGCCGAGGTCCCCGGAGATCGACACCCCCAGCGGTGGTTCTGCATGAGCCCAGGCCACGAACCAAGAGACCCAGCCACACGGACAAGGGCCCACACCTCCCCAGGCCCCCCCCCCCGCCCCCTGGCTGGCCTCCAGGACGGCCCAGGGATGGCTCCGAAACGGGCCCAAGACCCCTCCAGGGCGGTCCCAAGACCTCCCGAAGAGTAGGGAGGGTGGCCCAAGCGCGCCCAACAAGAAGCTTCAAGAGGGCCCCGATAAAAAGGGCCCCGGGTGCGCCTCAGCGCCATTCATTGAATCGCAGTGTTGCGTGCTCGTTTCTCCGAGGGGGAAGGGGGGGGGCGCTGGGCGTCCCGCTCTGCGGGCTCAGCTGCGAGGCCGCCCCCCCGCCGCCCTTCGTGAGCGTGTGGTGCAAAGCACACGTGGCGGCCCAGGCAAGGCTGCGCACAGACATCCCGCTCATGACTTCGCAGTGGTGTCTTGCAGGGGAGGGTGCGAGATCACACTCAGCGCTGCGCGCTGATCCGCCCTCCATACCAACGACAAATCAACTGGTGCACTGTGTACGCTCCATGCGCGATGCCAACCATCCCGCCGTCACATTGCGTCTATGTTCGCAAAGGGTGATGGGGCGGTCGACATGTCGCCCGAGGCGTGCCTTCACAGAAGTAGCATGATATGCCAGTGTGCGATAACGGGAAACGAGCTGACTGTAACGCGTTGTTTTCTGTGCACTGCCCCACATCACGCACTCCGCTCGCGTCCCGCAAATGAGTCATCTGGCACACACCTCCCGCCAGACACACATGAGCATCTCGGGAGCCTGGCAGACCTGGCGCACCTCGGGAGCATGGCACACGTGGCGTTTGCATATGGTCCGATGTGGTGTCAATCGGAAAAGTGGCCGAATCCGATGCTGGATGGCGCACGCACGGGCGAGTTTAAGCAAGGTAATGGTGTGTGTATGTGTCCCATAACCTAAACCACCAACCACCACCATGTCCCACCCCACCCCACCCCACATCGCACACACGTCAGCCCCTCCTGGTATGTCATGCTGACGTTCCTGATGCTCCTAATGCGCGCAGGTTGATCATCACCCTCCGTCTCAACCTCATCATCGCCCTCACACCTGTCTCCACCACGCTGGTGATTCGCCGCTTTCACCTACGTGTCGCCATGCCCCCATGTTCACCCCTGGTCTTCTCGTCCACCTCCTCCTCGTCATCCTCCTCCTGTTCTCTCATCGCCCCCTCTTCCCAAGAATTCCCTCCCCGTCATCCCCCAACCCGCAGCCCCTCCACTCCCACTCGTCATTGTCACACTCGTCCTCCTCCTCATCAGCATCATCCGCGTCACTTCTTCAGATTCCTCTTCGTGCTCCTGATCGGCCCGTATCTCGTCGGTATCCCGCTCCCCGAATCCTCCTGTGTACACCTCCGCATAGTCATAATCATCCCTGGTGGCATCCTATTCGTTCTCAGGCTCTCTTCGCAAACTGATGCAGACGTAAGTCAGTCACCATGGGCGTGGAGGCACTCAGAACGAGTCCCTGCCATCCCTACTATCAGAAGTAGGGGTGAACATTACCTACCTTCCCTGCCATGTCCACATGATCCTCGACTTCCTGCCGTGTTCCTCCCCGCCATTGCCCTCCTCATTCTCATGCTCGCTATAGTTCACTCAGCATCAGTATCTCAATTCTCTCTTTCTCTCTCTCTCTCTCTCTCTCTTCGCAGCACTACGGAGGCGATCCTCTGTCGGCGTATGAGTCGAGCCAGAAAGTCAGGTGTAGGTACTACGCTCGCCAATCAGGCTCGGAGGGGCGATCACCACGTACGCGCTTCTGTGGCCCCTCCATTACAGCTGTAGACCCACGCTTGTTGCACTGATACACTTCTCAGTAATCGCACTGCTATGGCAATCCAGAAAGTCAGTGCAGCATTTTGAGCCACCAAAGAGTATACGGTGATAATGGAGTTTCGTGTCGTCGGGTAGCGTCTCCTCTCCATGGTCCATGAACAGGACCTTTATATGCGTGTAGCGGTGTGGTAGTTGATCGAATTCTGGGTATTCGTGTCCGCAGATCTTGGCAACGGTAGCGAGCTTGAGGTCGCAGAGTGTTGAAGTAGTCGTAGCATGATATGGTGTGACGTAGTCATTGATTGTAGTAGGGCCTCAGGGCCGGTAGTAACAGAAACGTAGTGCCCACTCCCAAGGTTGTCTCCACGATCATGTATTTGCGTGCCAGCATCCAGTGGCTTTCTCGTTGACGTATCGGTATGTATTGACCCTTGTGTGGTTCTTGTGATCTGTTGTCGATGGTAGCATGCCCTGTATCCTCTTTGCAAGTGGCGTTGTATATGCCAATGCGTGTGTTGTACATATCCTTAAACTGATGTTTCAGTTCAGCTTTGGTATCCCTTCTCCTCCTCATCATCATCCTCCAGCTCCACTCATCATGACGACCCTGCACATCCAAAACATCTTTCGACATTATCATCATAACCATCTCATCCTCTTCACCCAACTCATTCACCCTGACCGTCATCTTGCAGTCACCCCAATCCTGCTCATCCTTATGTAATTCCCTCCCCCCACGCAATTCGCCTCCCGATCGTCCCCTCCTCTCCTCGTACAGTCGGGGCGTTGACCTAAGGAACCCTAGATAAAGAACGAGGACCCTTTTTCCCTTAAATTAAACTCAGATTTTCCGTGGAAAAGCTCCGGAAGACCCAAGGAGCACTATAAAGCAACTAAGAACACGGAGCCCCTCCCCCACGAAAAGGTTTCCTTCTTCAGGGCCCCGACTGTATTCCCTCCCTCACGTATCCTTCTCTTCCCCCCAATTAATTCCCTCCGGCCGACAAGCTCCCCCCCTTTCTATGTTCGGGCAGATCAACGTAGGGACACATCGGGCTGAAGTCGGGCGCCCCCGAAGGGGCCCTGGCGCCCCTGAAGGGACCCTAAGGGGGGGCGCTGCACTGCCATCCCGGCCCCAACGGTTGCTGACCAAAATAAGCACTTCCCAAAAGAAGACCGAACATAGAAACATCTCTTGGATCTCTTGGATTTCCTCTTCCTCCTCCTCAGGATCTCTTGGATGTCCTTCTCCTCCTCCTCCTCCTCATCATCATCCTCCTCCCAATCCTCCTCCTCCTCCTCCTCCTCCTCCTCCTCCTCCTCCTCCTCCCCCCTCCCGACAAAACTACGCTTTTCCTGTCGGAGGTCAACACGGGATTCCTGGATCGGCGCTAGACCCTCCTGGCGGCGCCTCCGGCGCGCCCGGAGGGAGGGGGCCTGGCGAAGGCCAGGGGCCGCACGGAGATGCCCAAAGCGAGGGACACCTTGACACCCCGAGGTGGCGGGCAAGGAGGCGAAGAACACCACGAGGGTAGCCAATCCGAAACTCACGTTGACCTTGGCCCTCGCGCCAGCTGTCCTTCGCCCCGTCTCTCCTCATCCGCCCTCTCGGGTCGGACGAAAGGGGAGGTTAGCGAAAGAGGGTACGCGAGTCAGGTCGCTGGCGCCGGGAGGCGCCAGGAGGCGCCAAAGCACCGAGGAAAGGCGGAAGGCGCCCAACGGCGGTACCGGAATCTGCTGCACGCAGCAGCTCGCAATCCGCCCTTTCCCTGTTCCGCCTCTTTCATCCGAGCCTGGTGAACCTCCTCGTCTGGCCTCTGGGCCATGCATCTGGTCTCCAATGGCCGCTCGAGACGATCCCGGCGAGGCGCAGCTGCTGGAGAGCATCCCAAGGCTGGAGATCCGCAGAGAACCGACAAAAGGGCCCCGAGCTTCAGCTCCCTCCGCCGACGCGCCGCGATCCCCCCTCCGCCATTTCGTTAGGTGGCGACTCTCCTGAATCGATGGGCGGCGGGGGTAGGGTTCGGACTTCGCCACGTATTCGCCGACCCCGCCGCCCATCGAGCCGCAATTGTTTTGATCGGCGAGGGTTGGGCCTAGGCCAGAAACAAACATCCCTCACGAACTTCAGATCCTCCGCCGGCCCAAACGCACAGGACATCCGAGGCTCCCCTCCCCAGGACGCACAAGAACATCCAACAAACACCCAGAACGGTAGGGCACCCTCGCCGACCCAACCTCGAGCTTGTACCTCGGACCGACCGCGGGTTCACTGTGAGGCGGTCCAGACCTGCGGTGTAGGCCCCCTCCTCCCGGGGAGACTGACGACACGGCACCCGGACCGCTGCTCCACGGGCCCCTCCCGGGGCGAGGCCTCCCTGGCACTTAATCGAGGCGAAGCCGGCCGCGCCACCCGAGAGGCCTCCCGCGAGGCCCCGCCGCACCGGCCTCGCCCTGACGCCTCGGTCCGCAAAACAGGGCTAGGATCTGGATAAATCGCTCCAGAGCGTTCCGGAGCGCTCTCAGAGCGTTCCGGAACGCTCTGTCTGGAGCGGCCGCGGCGCCCAATACATCCCCCAAACCCGCCGATTCTCGAAGAGTTCGAATTATCCCGATCCGACTCTGTCCCGATCTTCGCGTCGTTTTACTCGGTCCGCCCGTGGGCTTCGGACGTCGCCGCCGACGCGTCCGACCCGCCCCCTCGCGAGGCACCGCGCGCGCGGGCCCGCGCGGCCTCCCGGGCGAACGAGCGCCGCCAGGCCTGGGCGGGACAAGGCCGGCCGGCGCCGGCCTCTCTGGCCGCCTCGAACGCTCCTCCATGTCCTGCGGATGCTTCGCCGTATGCTCCTCGGCTCCACTTCCCCCCTTCTCCTGCTGCATCGCATCATCATCAGCATCAGCATCAGCATCAGCATCAGCATCAGCATCAGCATCAGCATCAGCATCATCATCATCATCATCATCATCATCAGCAGCAGCAGCAGCAGCAGCATCGTCAGCAGCATCGTCAGCATCATCGTCAGCATCAGCATCAGCATCAGCATCGGCATCAGCATCATCATCATCACCATCATCATCGCCATCAACAGCATCGTAATCATCATAATCGTCAGCATCGACGTCATCATCATCAATATTGTTATCGCCATCGTCACCATCAACAACATCAGCATCAGACATCGTCATCAGCATCATCAGCATCGTCATCGTCATCATCAGCATCACCACCATCATCATCATCCTCATCATCACCATCATCACCATCATCACCATCATCATCAGTTGCGTCATCAGCATCGCCATCATCGACAATGTCATCAACATCATCAGCACCATTGTCATCATGAGCATCATCATAAGCATCGTCATTGTCACCATGATGATGATCATCATCATCATCTACACAACCACCATCATTAGCATCAAGAGCATCATCATCAGCATCGTCACCGTCAGCAGCATCATCATTACCACCATCCTCTTCTTCATTACCGTCAGCATCATCATCAGCATCAACATACTGATCAGCAGCATCATCAGCAGCAGCATCACCATCAGCATCAGCATCAGCATCATCATCAATAGCACCACAACCACCTTCATCATCAGCAGCATCATCACCATCATCAGTATCATCTGTATTATCATCATCCGCATCATCAGCAGCATCGTCATCAGCGCCGGCAGTATAATCATCAATATCATCATCAGCATCATCAGCAGCATAATCAGCATCAGCATCCTCTGTCTTCCTCCTCCGCCGCCTCCTCATCATCATCAGCAACAGCAGCACAACCATGTTCATCATCAGCAGCATCATCATCATCAGCAGCAGCATAATCATCATCATCATCATCATCATCAGCAGCATAATCAGCATCAGCATCATCATCATCATCAGCATCATCATCATCATCACACTCATCATAATCATCAATATCATCATCATCATCATCAGCAGCAGCATCATCATCATCATCATCATCATCATCAGCATCGTCATCACCAGCATCCTCATTGTCCGCATCATCATGATCAGCAACAACATCAGCATCAGCATAATCATCATAAGTATCATTCTTATCAGAAACGGCATAATAATCAGCATCAGCAGCAGCGTCAGCGTCATCACGACCATCATCATCATCAATATCATCATCCTCATCATCATCATCAACAGATTCATCATCATCATCATCATCATCATCATCATCACCACCATCATCATCAGCCACGTCACCACCTCTCGCGCCTCTCTCTTCGCCTCCTTGTTCGCAACCCCCTCCCCTTCCTTCTCCTCCTCCTCTCCCCCTCCTCCTCCTCCGACTCCTCCTACGTAATTCTCCTCACCGTCCTTCTCCTCTTCCTCCATTCGTTGCGAATGCCACAGGCCCCCTGGGCGGCGGTGCTGTGGGCGCCTGCAACTCCCACCCCGTCCCCCCCCCCTCACACTCATCCCTCGGACTTAACAGGCCGCCCCGCGAGGGGTTCAAGCGTCCCAGATGGCCCAGGATGGCTCCAGAGTGCCGAAGACGACATCCACGACGGCACAAGAGGCCCCAAGACCGTTCCGAGACAGCTACAACTGGCCACAGAGCCTCAGACGGACGTGCCCGAATCGCCAACATGTAAGAGTTGTGTTCTCTGGCCTTCAGATAACTCTAGGTGGCCTCCCAAACGGCGCAAGGTGGTTCAAGATGGACCAGGGTGCCCTGCATCATGCCTGCAAGAGGCCACAGGACCGCCCCCAGAGGGCTCAAAGTGGCCAGGGAGCGCCCCAAGAAGACACAAAAGAAGCCACAAATAATCAAAAACGGTTGGGCAATCAATCATTGGTGCCTTACTGGCTTTTCGCGTCCGGTGGGCCTCTGAGGCTAGCCCCGGGATCGCCCAAGAGACCCAAGACGGACCCCTGCCCAAACACTTCCAAGATCACATTCTTCCTAGACCCTGGGGCTTCTCTGGGGCCGTATCTGGGCTGGACAGGGACGCCGTTATCAAAACACCCCTCAGTGAAAACGGCCCAGGACAAGACCTGGCAAGCGAAGCCCCACAACACATTGCAACCGCAACGCCCTCTCGAGAACCGAAAACGAGCAATTGGCTAATCGCCTTGGCAGGGTGGGGTTTCTGCCGACCTCCGATTGCAGCCCTGGAGCTCTGTAGTCTCTCATGGGGCCTGTAGGGAAGGCCCCAAGGCTCAGGACCACCTTCACTCAGGACCTCTTTGGCTCATGGCGACTCCGGCACCCTGGCGGGGGGATGGTAACACCCCGGCTTGAGCCCTGGGCGGTCCCAGCATCCTGGCGCCGCCTCCCAGCGGCGCGCTGGGGGCCCCCCGCGCGCCAGGCGGGCCTACCTGAGGGGCTGCCTGTACTGGAGCAACGAATGACACCTCCCGGGCGCAGGGAGCGCGCCAGGGGCGGCGCCCGAGGCCCCGCCAGGGGTGCCCGACGCCGATCCAACTGTATGTTTACGCAGTTTCTCGTCTCCGATGTACTTACTCAGCCAGTGGCCTTACCACAGGGGGGCATCGGGCGGCCAGCAGCCCCAGAGGGCGGCGGCGCACCCAGCGGGTCGTCGCGGAAGTCCGCCAAGTGCCGCAACCTGTTCTGAGCAGGCCCAGCCTGGAGGTCCAGGACCTGCCCCCCGGCACGTGTCGTCGGCGTCGGCTTCAGCGTCGGCGTCGGCGTCGTCGTCGTTCCTCTGCGCCTCTTCTCCGTCCGCTTCGCTCCCACATGGGGGTTGCGGCTGTGGATGTCAACAACAAATCCTCCTGCTCCTCCTGCTCCTTCTCTTCCTCCTATTCATCCTGCTCCTGCTCCTCCTCCTCCTCCCCCTGCTGCTCCTCCTCCTGCTCCTCCTCCGCTTCGTCCTCATCTTCCTCCTCGTCCTCCTCCTCCTCTTCCTCCTCCTCCTCCTCCTCCTCACCTGCTGCTCCACCTCCTCCTCCTCCTCCTCCTCCTCCTCCTCCTCCTCCTCCTGCTCATCCTCCTCCTCTCCCCCTCGCCTTCCTCCTCCTCCTCTCTCCGTCCTGCTCCTCCCTCCTCCTCTCCTCCTCCTCCTCCTGCTCCCTCCTCTTCCTCCTCTCTCCCTCCTCCTGCGCCTCTTCCTCCTCCTCCTCCTCCTCCTCCTCCTCCTCCTCCTCCTCCTCCCTCCTCTCCTCCTCCTCCTCCTCCTCCCCCCTCCCCCCCCTCCCCTCCCCCTCCCCCTCTCCTCCTCCTCCTCCTCCTCCTCTCTCCTCCTCCTCCTCCTCCTCCTCCTCCTTCTTCCTCCTCCTTCTCCCCTCCTGCTCCTCCTCCTCCCAACTCTGCCTCTGCTGCCCTCTCCTCCTCCTTCTCCCCCCCCCCCCTCTTTCTCCTCCTTCTCCTCCACCTCCTCCTCCCCCTCCATCTCCATATCCATCTCCTCCTCCTTCTCCTCCTTCTCCTCCTCCTTCACTTCCTCCTCCTCCTCCTTTTCCTGCTCTTCCTCTTCCTCCTCCTCCTCCTCCTCCTCCTGCTCCTCCTCCTCCTCCTCCGCCTCTGCCTCCCTCTCCTCCTCCCCAGTGCATGCCAACCAGGAGGGCAGTGATCTTCGCGCTTCGCGCTCCGCGAAGCGCGATTGTGTTCGCGCTTTAGCGCCGTCACCCCCCCACAGAACAGGATCAGGGACTTGCGCGACGCTCTGAAATCGTCCAGACCGCACAGAGCAACCAACTTCGCACCCTCGTGGTGGCCCTAGGTCAATGCAACTCTTTTTGCTGCAGTGAAAACGTTTAGTAAGGACGGGTGGTAAGGACGCAGGACCCTTGGAGACCGCAGTTGGGACTTTTGGGGCAGCGGGCGACCATAATCCCATGTGGAAACGGCACAACGACGGGTCGCAGAGGCAAGGACACAAGGGTACCTTAGAAAAGGTGTGCGTCCTTACTATGCGCGTTGACTGGGACGCACAAATACATATTGACACGACACGGCCTCCTTGGAGGCGCGCGTCCGACCTGGCTGGGCCTAAAATACACCCGTCCTGCAGTGTAGATCGTTTCCCGAGCGGTGTGGCCAGCAAGCGCCCGCCACGACGCGTGCACCAGAAGTACTCTCCCTGCGCGCGTCGCCCCTGGGGGGCCACGCACACTCGGGAGCGGCCAAGAGGGGGGTGTCCAAGAGGGGGGGGTGCGGATCATGACAGGCGGCATGTGCGCGGCCCAGCGGCGGGGCCAGGGACGTAATGAAATAAGAAGAGGCGCCATGAAATCTGGGGAAATATCATGGCCCCCGCCATGATATCCACCCCCCCCCTAGTCATCACCCCCCTCTTTTCTGCCCCCGACACACGTAGCATAGATTGGCATGGCTGGGGTGACGCCGCTCGGGAGGAGGGAGCCGGGCAGCCGGCAGACGACGGCGGGCGCGCCGGCGGGAGGCCCGCCGCCGGCGGGCCGAGGTAGGCTTGTGTCGGGCGTGTCCCCCTCCAGGGGGATTCTCGACGAAAAACAAAACAATACCTCAAAAATACCCCCGAAAGGCCAAACAACTACTCGAAAAAGAGTCCCCAGACTATTGTTTTACTATTTTTTTATTATTTTTAGGTTTTCTTGTTTTCCTCGAAAATCCCCCTGTATGGGGACAGGCCCGACGTACAGGTAGGCGGCCAAGCCCTCGCTGTGCCCTCGGCGCCCCTGGGAGGGTGCCGGCCGCGCCGCGCTCTGCGCCCGTCGGTGGCCTCTCGGCGTCCCCGCCTCGGGAGGCAGGGCGCCGGCCCTCGCCCTCCAGTGGCAGGGACGCCGAGTCGTCGTGGAGGCAGGGCGTTTCTGAGAAGCCTCCCCCCCTGCCCCATACCCCCCTGTGCGCGTGGCGGAAGGAGGAGGGAGGGAGGGAGGGAGGGAGGGAGGGAGGAGGAGGAGGAGGAGGAGGAGGAGGAGGAGGCGGAGAAGGAGGAGGAGGAGGAGGTGGATCAGTGTAAACCCAGGGGTCATCAGCGATGTTGGAATCAACCCTCCCCCCAAGCTCCCCTGTCAAAGGCCCTATACAAGGGTTCATTTCCACTGAGGGAGCTGCCTCGTTTGAAAACAACCGCTTGAAGACCATGGAGCATGCCAGAACATCGTCAACGGGATCCCTCAACCTGACTGTTGCGTCTTGACGATCCTGAATCTTGCCAGAACGCCATCCCTGGGATTTCAACACCGTGAATCAACGAAAACGAATGTGCGCAGCGCAAAGGCGAGAGGCACATGTTGAAAACCATTCGTTCTCAATCCGCGAAACTTCTGCAAAGTTACAACACGACAGTGCGCGGCGCAAAAGCGAGAGCCAGTTTGAAAACCAGTCGCCTTCAATCCATTAAACCATTGCAAGGTTTTCAAATGAATCTGCGCAACGCTAAGGCGGAAGCCACATGTTGAAAACGACCCGCCCTCCACTTGTGAAACTGTTTCCATTTTCAATATTTCAGGGTCATAATTGATGGGGAAGTCTCAGGCGAAACGCCCAGCCCGCCCTAAAAACTGGCCTCGCGGTGCGACCGGGAAAAGTTACTTATAAGGAAAAGGACAGGGGGAGGAGGAAGAGGAGGAGGAGGAGGAGGAGGAGGAGGAGGAGGAGGGGGAGCAGCAGCAGCAGGAGAAGGAGGTGCAGTGCTGGCAACACCCGAGCCATCGTGCTACGAGGCAGAGCTCGGAAAAAGGACGAAAGAGGGCTTTACCGGCCACGGCGACCCTCGGCCACGAAAGGGAAATTGTCCCGACCCACCGTCAAAATCTGCAGTGAGCACGCGCTGTAAGCACGCAGGGCCCTTGGACGGTCCTTGGACGCCCCACTGGAAATGCTGGAATCGTTCTTTTATGCGGCGATTCGACACTGGGCGGAAACGGAAGGGGGGGAAAGGGGGGGGGTCTGGCTCTGGACCTCTGCTCGGTGCGCCTGTTTGCAACACGGCGTCCACTGGGGGAGTCTCCACCTGCTCAAAACAAGAGTCGAAAACAGCCGAGATCTACTCCATGGGGGGGGGAGGCCCGCATCGATCGGCAAAACAATGCACATAAAAAAACGAGCACGCTTTTTTAGCGGCGCATCGCCGAACAGATCTAAGGACGCAAGGGTGTCCTCGGGAAGGTTCCCCCTCCTTGCTACGGGCTTGCACCGTAGATCTAGGGACTGGCCCGAAAACCAGGATTCCCCCTGAGCCCGAGTGGTCATTGTTTTAGCGTTAAGTCGGCCCTGTCCCCCTACAGATGGATTTTCAAGGAAAAACAAAAATACTCCAAAAATAATATGGGGACTATTTTTCGAGTATGTGTTGACCTTTTTGGGGCATGTTTGGGGTATTTTCTATGTTTCGTCGAAAATCCCCCTGTAGGGGGACACGCCCGACATGATTTTAGCCTCCTGGCTGCAGGCACGTGGCCACTGCAGGCGAGACGAAGCGACTCGAAGCGAGCCGAGCCCCCGATCGGCACCGCAGCCCTGGCCGGCGACTCGATCGACTCGCGCACCGCCTTGGGCCGCGGGCGGCCCGTGGCCCTGTGTGCTGCCGAGCTCGAAGGACAAAACCGGCATAATCCTACAGGGCAGGTTGTAATACATGGGATTTTAAGAAATATAGTATGTTTTATCCCTCACTAATTTAGGAATATGTTTATGCATGAACTCATCGTAGCTTTTAATACTAAATCCCTGCATTGTTAATACATGATCCGCACGCGGAGCATGTATTAAAAACGGCACTGTAAACTTTGAGAACTCCGCGCAAATGTCCGGGATCCGCGCTGCCCCCCCCTCGTTGGCCCTCGGAGCGCGCCGGAGGGCACGGCGCCGACGCAGAACATCCGCGCGGGACTCGGACCGTTTGGGTTGCGCCGGTGTGTCTTCGACGGGCTGAACGCTGCGAGCGGCCACCGCCACGACGCCGTCCGGCTGGCCGCGATTGGCAAAGGGTGGGGATACCAAGAGGTACAGATACCGCTACTCCCCGCGATCTCTCCCGGGGCGCGTTCTGGCCATGACTTCGAAGCGAAACCAACGGTGCCGACGAGGGCCTCCGAGAAGGCCCCAAAAAGGGAACACGCGGAGAGCGTAGAGGAATGGGCACTTTTCCCCAGCTCTGGCCTCTAGTGGCGGCGAACGGAGGCGGCGGCGCGGGCCCGCCGCGGCGGCGGCTACGGTGAAGGCCCACCGCGGCGGCAGGCACGAAGCGCGCTTTCTTGCGCGCGAGCCGCCAGGCGCGCGCGCTCCGCAGGGCGCGCAGCGCGCGCGCACGTCCCCGCGGCGCGGCCGCGCGCGGGCAGGGCCGCTGGGCAGGACGGGACAGGAGACCAGAGCCGTCTGCGGGTCCGACAGCTGACGGTGGACAAACCTCCCTGTAGCACGCCTCCCCTTAGTGAAAACGGCCTGGGATCGAAACCGACGGACCTGG